AATCGTTTGAAATAAAAATTATTTTCTTTATTTAATTTGAAAATTTAAAAAATACTATTAGATAAAACCTTACATTTTCCTTTGAATTGGATAGAATTAAAAATGAAACAAATATAATAATGTCTAAAAATTAAAAATATTGTTTTAATAAAAATAAGAAAACGTCAACTTACTGTTCTGGGTATGATATCTCTTTTTCTCTCATATGCGAATCAACTCGGTTTAAAAAAGGAAGATCTCCATATCAGCTAAAAGAAGGTTGTTGCAGTACGCTTCAGCTCTGCATTTTCAGTTGGAGGAGACACACCGATTTTTCCATTTTGGTGGAGCAGCATTGTCCGGCATGCGCAACACTGGAAAGAGGGGAGAGAAGAAAACCAGAAGAAGAGAGAAAGAAGAGCGGTTGTGTGGTGTGTCTCGCGAAGTGTAATGTGGTTAAGATCATATTTCTTTGCCATGGAAATCCCAACACAAGAAATCAAACAACCATAGTCACAGTCCACACCTTCTTCAAGCTTTTGTATCTCTGCCACAACACCAATCTCTCTGCGAACCATGGACCAAAGCACATTGGGTGTTATTCCCTTCTCCGGAAGTTGATTGTGAAGTTTTCCCTAGACTCAGCGGTGCCCCTTTTCAACAAACTCAGTTCACGACAGCATTGTTGGGTTTGAGGAAAAGGTTCGTGGTGGTCTGGGCGGTGGGTTCCCTTCTCCTGAGGCCATCTCCGTGCATAGGCAGAGGGTGGTGTTGCGCCGTCGGTTCTGTAAGTGCTTTGATATTGTAATTGCTTTTGTTGGTTGATATATATGTGATCGAAAGTTCTTCCAAATTGGTTACCTTCTCAACATTCTGATTAGAGAAATTAATTTGGGATTGCTTGATTTCGTTTTTGCAAAACTTGTGATGCATTTTTTACTTGTCCCCTGTTGTGGGTTCCTGAGGTGATGATGATATCGTATGTAAAGTCTCCTTCTCTGAATTTGGCGTATTAGTTAGAGTAGAGTAAAGTCTCCTTCTGTCCAGTGTTTGGCATATCAGGTTCTGTGTTTGATGTCTCCCCTTTGAGTCCAATTAGGCTAGGCTACCACTAAGACTGGTTTAGCTGAGTGAAAGGACTGGTTTAGTCGAACCCAAACTATGGTCTCGATTTCCCAGCAAATATTTGCCCCTCCCTTTTGTGTTAGTCAGTTTCGTCCTCAAGCCAATTAGTGAAATTAGAAATAACAAAAAGCATAAAAGCCTAAAAATTGGTGAAAGTGGAAATGAATGGATAACAGAAAACTGAATGGTAATCGAAACTACTAATGGTATGCGCATGATCTAAAAGTAATACATGAATGATTAGAACTGGAATGGGTGAAAAAAAGTGGAAATGGAATTCTATGTAAGTGAATTAGAAAACAATAAAGGAAGTAATGTGTAAAGAACATTCAAGACCTGGCTCATCCTGTTCACGCTTCAATTGCAAAGAGGTCAATCTGATGTCTTTGTTTTGTGAGAAGGAAGGACAACCAATCAGTGGTCCAATTCTCATAAGCATTCGATCCTTAATAAAAAAAACTAAAAAGTAAAATTAAATTTGTAGAATTATAGAAAACAAACCACTTTGTTGAATGAATTCTTCTTTGTAGACAGTTTGTTTCTTTATCGAAGACCTTGCCATGGAGCATAAATGGTGGCCTAAATTAAATGCCGAAAGAAAAATGGTATGAATGAGTACACTGAAGAGAACAACAGAGAATCTAAAAGGGCAATTTTACTGAAAGGCAAAGAAGTGGAACACAATTGCTGGAAAATGATAAAAGTAAGTTACTGAAACTGTACATTAAAAACTGAACTATTTAAACTGTGTTGTGGTTGACTCCTGTTTATAGAACTTCAAATTATACAATGTCACAGTCCAATGAAATGTGAACAGGCTAAAACAGGTTTCAACTTACAAGATTGCTCCTAACTACAGGTGAACAGTAGTAAACTAAAGCTACCGCAGCTGCAGCTAGTTTAGAATTCTATGCTTTAGCTGACTTGAATGGTCTAACTCCCGTGCTTGTTCAGTTGAAACTTTATTTTCTGCAAAACAAAAGTCAACTAAACGGGTATTAAAATCATAATTTCTACTACAAGGCTAGAACTAATACCACTTTAGCAAAACAACTAATTGTTGAAAATAAAACAAATTTATTCTATAATAAGAATTTGAAAATAGAAACAGTTCTAAAGAGTTGCCATTAGCCTATATATTGAAGATTAAAGCAAGAGTAATCATTGAGAGAATTAATAAAACCGAAGACATAAATAAAGCAAATTGCATGAAAAGAAGAAATATTGTGGCTGGTTTAGTGTATGACTCTCTTTGCTATATTAAAATTTTCCGCAGACTTGTTTTAGTGTAAATTGAGGGATGGTAAATTATTAGAAGATATTGAATGTTTAGGGAAATATGATTGGGGTGGGGTAGTATATAAGTTTTTGGACCACAACCTCACTAGGACTTCACAGTGTTATGTTGAAGGAGTTAATAGTAGCCAAATCCACCTCGTGGGTTTCGCTGTAATATTGCAGATGGGAAGAGTTGAATAGTGAAATTTATGTTTTGCTGTTATAGATATAAGTTTAAAGAACTGACTTACTGTTTTATTTTTTATTATGTTGTGATATTGGACATGTCTCACTTTCTAGTGTTGAGAAGATGAGTTTCCCTTGAATGGTTTGCAATGTGGTAAGACATAGGTAAGAAATTTTGAATTTAATTTGGCTGTAGAGCTTGGTGATTACGTTTGGTGGATTTGTTATAGTTGGTATATTAATTGGTAGGAGTTTTTTTTTTTTTCCTTTTTTTTTTGGAGTGGTTGGTATATCCATAAACATATGTTGTGTGGAAGTTAATTTTTATGAGTTTTGATACAGATTATTCATAATTTGGAGGTAGGTTGTGGAGATAAAGTTCATGTTGTTGTGACGGAAACATTGGAAGCTGCTTCAATGGGTTCTATGTGCGATAATTATGGAGACTTTAACATTGAAGAAATACTAAGTGAGCATCACACTTTGAAGAAAATCAATGCAGAGTTGGAGGGACGAATTGCCAAACTTGAATCAGAAGTAAATTTGTTAAAAGAACTTGTTAGAGGTGGAAGTTGTGTAATTGCAGCAGAACATGATCCTTCCGTTGAGGTAGAAGGAGTGGAAAAAATAAAATCTTTCAATATAGATGCTATGAGTTGTTCTATGTCTGGTTCGATGTTGAAGAAATTGTACTTGAGATTGTACAATTTTTGTGTTCAAAGATGTTCATTAACTGAGGGAAAGCGGTATGTGGAATTATTTTCTATAGTATAGTTCAGGTAAATTAAGTTAAGGAGGATAAACTTTTCGCTGACAAGTAACAATTTTTTTAGAGTACTGGTGAGTATGTATGATGGGTATTTGGAGCGTAATAATTTGCAGTCACTGAAGTCAAGGAATTGGGTTGATAATATGGTTAGTATTTAAGCAACGATGACTTTGTTGTCATTTAAAGCATTGATGAGTATTAATGTAATTATATTATTTGTATAGGTTGTGTACTTTGCTGCAAAATTCTTCATGGCAAATGAGTTAGAAAAAGGTGTAGGAATTAAGCGTTATATTTTTACACCACGTTTTTCGGTTAGTGAAAGGAGTTTGTTTTTATTGTTGTGTTTGGTTCATTCTATACTATACAAACTAATGTTTGTTGTTTAAATGAATGGTAGGATATTGTTGTGGCCAAGGTTGGATGCTTGGGAACAAAGTCTGTAGGCAAATGGACAATGAAGGAGTTTAGTTGCTTGGCCACGAATAGAAACACTCCAATTAGTTTAATTTGTGGTTGTGATTTGGTAAATATGTATATTAAAGTCTATATTATAATTGTCACTTTTTCTGAAATGGAATTGAAACAAATGATTTTGTTGATGGTGTGTAGGTCTTTGTACCCACCATATTGAATAAACATTGGTATTGCTACGTGCTTCATTTGGAGGATAGAAAAATATTTGTGTTGGACTCCTGTCGTGATACTTCAACCGAACGAGAACGTGTGGACGAGGCAATGGTATTATATAGAACTTGTAGTTATTGGATTGTGACGTGTTTAGGTTTTAGAAACTTTTTATGTGTTATTGTTGTTTTGCAGAAAGAAAAACTTCAAGAACTTTTTCGTTTGTTGTTGCCAACAAGGACAATTGTCGATGCTGATTTTGAACTTATATATGATCCGCTCCCTCAACAAAGAATGATGTTTGTATCCTTAACTTTTGCAGTTTCGACTTTATGATATAACATTGATTTTCATTTTGTAAATTTGTTTCATTAGGTGTTGAAGAACAAATTTGATATTTGACTTTATGAATAGGTGTGATTGTGGTATATATTTGCTCAAGTACATGGAGTTGTGGGATGGAATCATGAGTTGGGATGGAATGCACATGCCCGACTTTACTGTGGTAAACATAAGCATAATTATCTAAATTGTTAAAATTGGACTGAGTTTATGGATTGTTAATGTTATTTTATTTATGTGCAGGATGAAATTCAACAGTTTCGTAGGGGACTTGTCTGTCAATGGGTCTTGCATCCATTAAATGAACACAAGACAACTACTTTGATGTCAACAAACTTGGTAGAAGATTTGTATTATGATGAACAATTTGCATTATGATGCACTTATGAGTCTGATTAGGGGATTTAGTATGATCGGAGTACGAATAGCATGCTCACAAGAAGAAGAATGTCGTTAGTTGTGTTGTAATTGTGGTTGTCTAACAAAAATAACAAGTCAGAGTATTGTGCGTGTTGTGATGCACAATTTGTAGCAGGGTCAAATGTGGTAATATTCAGCCTTGATTATGATGTTCCAACCTTGTATTAGGTTCATATGTTTGTGTTTGTTGATAACGAGGGTTGTAAGATTTCATCACAAGTTAGACAAATTTTTGTAGTTTTACTTGATGTGGTTTTTGTATTTGTGATTAAGCATTAATGGTATTTATAGAGGTTAGCTGGAGGGACTATTTTTGGGATGTTCCAATCGAAAATGCAAACTATATATCTTATCTAAAGTTGGTTACTTTTGTGGTGTGTGCAAGTTTGATGGTAATTGTTTTAGTGTACTTGTTTGATTTCTAATAATTTCTAATAGGTAAACACAAATCAACTCAATTGCAATTCAAAGGTTTGTTTATATTGTTAATGAAGTTAAAGTGTCTTTCAAGGTTAAAAACTAGAATACATCATAAAAAAAAACTTGTATAATAATTTGACTATGTTTATAACCTTTTTAACTATTTTTTTTAACAAATTTAACCTACTTTTTTGTTCTAGAATTTAAATGAAGAATAAATAAAGTTTTAAAAATTGGAAATCATTGATAACCATTTAAATTATGAAATTCAAATGTTTATAATCAGTGTTAATGAAGTCCTAATGCTTCTCCATGTTCATATGATCATGTAACCAATTCTATAAGCTGTTTAACCTCTTGTTTAAAAGGATTTAACTCACTTTTTGTGTTAGGATCTACATAGACAATAATTCAAGTATGTTTCCAAAAAGTCTCAATCATTTGCAACCATTCAAATATAAAGAAATGGAAAGGTTTAAGATTAAATTTTTTTTGGTTGTTAAATAAAAATTAAAATTAGTATCTCTTTGAAACTGACTCAATTTAGTTTCTCAATTTTAGAAATTTGTGGATTTAATCATTTTAACCAAATGTTAAATTTATTTAACGTTTCAAATA